TGCCGACACGAATTCTGGAAAGGGATAGTTTTATACTTATTGTCAGTTAAATACTGAATTATGTCAGGAGGAGCCGCAACCAAAATCAGTAACTGATAGAGACATAGAAAAGGACTGTAGTAAGTGGCTCAAATAACCAGTTGTCTAGAAACCCTCGTCGTTCTGTAAACGATACAACAGAAACGCATTTGCACGGAGGGTAGCACATGATTATGGATTCAACGGTCTGGGTATGCAATACAATGGATATTGTTATGAGTACTAGGTTCCCTGAAAATATACTATTTCCGATGAAAATCAAAAGTCCACATATGGAATTGCTGAACGTAAACTAATGTAGGCTGCCGATTAAGCTGAGAAAAATATAAAAACGTTACTTATCGGAGCCGTTTTGAAAATTCAGGATATAACCATCTTACGAGTAAGGAGACAATATCATTTGGCCTCAAACACAACAAAACCTTTTCCTAATATGTCAGGGTTATGTCAAACAGAAAATGTTTATCGTATTTATTATTTCTCTAGTAAGTGTGATAAAAACATGTTTGAATTCTGGATTTAAATGTAGTGGGAACATTCCCGAAGTCACTTGTCATAGGTTTGATCATCGACTTAGAGGTCCTTGTGCAGCTAACAAACTTAACCGTAAGAAAGCGCATTTTGATGAATATGTGGAATTTTTATCTAGAAAGTTTCATTCTATTACTGGAGTGTGATGACATCGATAAAATTATAGTGACAGATTTGCTGTTGTTGATGTCAGTGGATGATTTTGATAGTCAAAACAAATCGCGAATCTCGAAGCATTTTTACGACATTTGTTGAAATATCTATGTCTGCCTAAATGCCGGGAAATGCAGACATTCACGCACTGGGCTAGCAGTCGGCGTGTTTGAGAACCCATGAAACCTTTAATGAGGTCTATGCCCAAAAGTTCATTAATATTGCATTTCATAAGGGAAAGACTTTATCACTAATTGATTTCCGAGGTGAAACCTTATAAAAATGGATAAAATGTGAATGCGCATTTTATATCATAAATGATAGGAATATTTACGCATAGTGACGATAATATTACCGATGGAAACGAAGATACGAGTTTTAGGGCGCAGTTGAGAAGAAGATGCGATCACTAGAATAAGACATTTATTGGGCTGAGGGTTAGAATCCTCACTCAAACTAAGCCTCACAGATGGTTGCAAAAAATGGCGATGGAGGCACGAAGAATGCGGTAATTATCACGTCAAAAGTTAACAAAGACGATGAAATCAAGGCAATTCCCAACTTGAGTACGAACTATGATGACATGATTCTCTGTTAGACTCCTGAAATAAAACATACTTTTATTCGTGGTTTGTATAAACTATATTTGAATTTGCAAGACCACCGAAAATCAACGTAAGGAATGCATGCTACTTAAGTGATCAATTTTTGTCGAGTACGGTTTCTACAGGAGGATAGAAATCAGTGCATTCAAAAGCTGGCATACTGCCGAGTTCGAAATTTTATAGGATTTTACCACAGGATAGTCAGTTTTGGAACCGCCCTAAATAATCCTTCCTAATCGAAAACACATTTCAGACTTTCAGACAACTTTTCATGAGATCGTTCACTCACTTTAACAGACTGGTGGCCCGAGAGTCAGACTGCAATGGCTTCCTCATAATGTGGTCATTCACAGTAATAATCGGGCAGAATATTCCAATAGCCTTTTAGTCACGTCAGGATGCCGGCTTTTGATCGAGCTTCCTTTCAGCCATCTGCAAAAAATACGCTGAAAATAACCATTAATTAGATGGCATGAACTCTCTCCTTTTAGTTTTGGTGTTTGCATATATTTAGCCGTATCTTATACAAAAATGAACAAACATATACTTTTTATAATCTTTTAGTAAAAAAATTACACTTCTTTAGATGCTATACTTGAAGAAAGGTATCCTTAGATTTGAATCAGTTTCACTTTTTAAGACCTTGAAGTGGCCACTCAAACGACATCGCACAAGCTAGTTTATCAACTGCTACTTATAAAGTACACAACCCGGTCTATATCAATAACATAATATTGCGCGTTTCACATGATGTCCTACTAACAACGCAGAGAGGTTTGTAATATTTCATTGATTTAATACAGTATGCACTTTGGAAACCCTCATCGCAAGTGTAGCTTCAGGTGAAGCGAAAATAATTGAAATTTGGAAAAAGTTATCGGAAACCAAGAAGCATCCTCTTTTCAAGTAGAAAATTTTAGATAATAGTGTTTTACTACCCGGATAAGAACAAAAAGTATATTTTTATGATGTCTTTACAAAAAAGGTTGAATTTATGTGGGCAACGAAAATCAGCAAAAAAGTGAGAGTAGTTATTTGCTACAGAGTGTAGTTTTTGATGACAGCCGTAAAGAAGCTCATTTAGTAGGCAACATCTTAGATAACTAAAATCTCTTTGGATTCTACTGCCCGACAATTAATATTACAGTGCTATTTACTAGTATTTTTGAATCTGAAGACAGTACGGACTTTCCGCTTACATTAATTCAGATAGCACTGTAATTATACTGTAAGTATTATCCCGGATAGTCTTTTGAAAACAACCTGTGCAAATCAAAAGACGCCAGCCAACTTACCGCGCACTCTAATCGTCACTTTTTATTTTACCCTGTTACTGAATATCTCAAAGCATATAGTGGCTGAATATTCGGGTGCAGTGAAGGTATTTGGGGCGGATCCGGCGTGTGTAGGTTGGTGCTCGAGGCACTGCTTCCCCCGGTCTCTGGGCGATAGATTCAGCAATGACACGCGGAAAAACCAAAAAACATGCGCAATCTGGAATAGTTTAGCACTCGGTTCGGCCCATTTTATCTTCGAAGTCGAGATAGTTAAATAAAACCGGGTCTTCAGCCAAGACCCCGTTTTCAAACAGTACAGACTACTGATGGGCGTGAAAGTTAAAAAAGCCCGAGTAATTTATTCCGATACGACGCCAGCAGTTAAATTCGGAGTTTTGCAAAAAGAATATACGTCTCGAGGGATATAAATGCGAGGGGCCAACGAAAACCCCCTTGCCACTAGTTCTTCGAAAGTTTGAAAATAATTGAAAAAACTAATTGAACAATTCTTCCTGGAATTTATGCTTTCATTAAACAGTTTATAAATTTAAGACAGCTGCAGATAAGCTCTGAGGCGAAATTATTACTTTTTCAGTTCTTCCAAGCCTAGTTAAATGTAAAACTCACGATAGCATTCATCAGTCTTTGTTTTGCAATTTCTGGATTGAAATGTCCGTGGACAATCTTGTCGTTCGAATGAAAATTACGACTTCTCCCAAGATTAATTGTCAAATGCTTGTTCCAAAGCCACCTGCCTAACGGGCAAATACTTCTAATTTTTTCAAAGAACTTAGATGTTAAAGTTGTAACCATTATGACAAAAACGAATACTATCTTGAAGTTACATAAGCTCTGAAGACTCCGATTTTTACATTCATAGAGCTTATGTTATTTAAAATGCCTCCTTTGTATCATTGAACGGATAATCTATTGTTTTTATGAGTATGCATTTCGAAACTTGTCCAAGAGGCGAGGGCAGGAACCATTCATATTCCTGGAGGAAGTGGGTTTGCGCTAAGTTTCAAAGAAATAATGATTAATGTCAAGGTTAGAGGTAAGGCTGGGGTTAGGGTTAAGGAAGAAGATGGGGCTTAGTTCAGAGTGATGGCTGCGTTCAGTTTTGGACATTTCGTTAAGCTAGGGTTCGGGTTTACGCAAGGTTTAGGGGATCAGGTTGGGGTGAAGTTAAGGTTTATGTTTAAGGCTTGATTTAGGATTATGACATAGAAGCTAACACCCTTCCTGGAATTTTCCTCAGGGCCACCCGTATTACCAGGGCATCCCTGTTACGGGAAACGTCATCGTAATTGCTAACGGCGACTTTCCTAGGTCCAGAACAGCCAAAACGGTTCAGTAAGTTATACGTCCTTGTCGATAACCGCGGTAGTCCAAATAGTTATGTTGTAGTTCCAGTATAAAAGAGCGCAAGGCGTTACCTATTAGGTATGGTAACTTTTTAAGTCAGCCTCGACGGTCAACTGGATTCTATTCATGTGTAAGTTCCGACGTCCAGTGTCTTCACTTTTTCTGAAAACTTTCTCCGTGAAAACTGGAGCTATTAGATGGCGACTGCAACTGTCTATGTAAACAGACTGTACCTACCCCAAAGTCATAAGCCTGGAGTTCTGGTTGCAAAATGTCTATGGTTAAATCAACAATTAATTTTCGAACATAAGTTTGACCTACTCAACAGCAAACGACAAGTCGTAGGAAGATTCGAAAATTTCTGTCGCGACCCTTTCAGTCTTCATACTTTAAAAATGCATTTTAACATCTGAAATGGTAGCGACTGACGCTGCAGTGGGAAACAGGTGATTCTCCCGTATGACATGTGGTTTTGGGAAATTCCTGTAATTTCACGACCAAACCTCAACGACTGAGGATGCGCTGTCAGTTTATTTGGAAACTAATCCTCAGGATTGTTTCAGCCCTATTGACAGTAGCATATTTTTTACACCTGGCCTGGCATTTCCTTGTGGATCAGACATAGTATTAGGTGTTTTACTTGCCACAGATGCACCTACACTTTATTCCAGTGGGATGAGTGTCAGTAGCAGCGTTATGGTTAGGGTTAAAATTAGGGTAGAGAAATGTTGTGCAAGGTTACCGGTAATACCGGTTTTGTCTATTTAGCCTGCCCAATTGCCTCGCCTTTTATGATATAAAGTACATCACTTTTTCGACTTGCGCTGGCCCGTGACTCCTCAAGGCCAAACGTAGTTAGTAAAATGCTCTGATTGCGAACCACTGATGAAATAAATTTGGGTAACAATGCAGGCAGCAGGCGCAGAAGATTCATTGAGCGCATCTTATTAAAAAAAGGAATTGACAGGACCAAACCCAACCTATTAAGTTTTTTAATACACCAAATGAACTGTCGCTTCTTGGGTAAACCTCATCTGCCGAGCAGATCAAATTTGTCCACAAGTTTAGTTGTCCTTGCCGTTGGCATTGGCATGGTCTTTCCAAGGGACGCTTCTGTTGTTTTTGTAGGGCCGCTAGTGTTTTTGTAACAAAATCTAAAAACACAGACCAAAAGTTTAGGAATATTTTAAAACGTCAAATACGAAGTGATTTTTCTGTGTGAAAACAATTCATAAGGCATTTTACGAGAGCCCTGAACCAGCACACAAAGACAGGAGAACATGGTACTTATTGCCAAAAACTGACTAGAACTCTGTTGGCTTCTAAACTAGGTTAACCTTCTTGCATGCCATCTCTTATTTGCCGTAAATTACCTACTGCTGACATTTGAAAGTAGACTTATATCGTATGTCTGCGGCAGAACGCTCCCAGGGGGAAATATTCATCATTGCATTTTAGCTGTGGAAAAGGATTAAATGTGTTTCCAGTTACCAGACCGTAAATACCTGCATGAGGAACTACATTGCTTAATCGTGACCCAAGCTGTTTCCTTGAGTATACTATTAGAAGTAAAATAAAAAAATTAAAATTTAAAAAGACTTTGATTCACACACTGGTTGACTTAATTAAAATTGGCTATCTGATTGCATATTAGGGCGACAGAAAGATTTAGTGAGATTTATCGGAGCACAACTTACTCCACTTTGAATCGAACGTGATCGTCATGTTCTTTTTCTTCATTTGACATTCCGTAGCGCATTAAATAGGTGATGCAGTTATCGGTATTTTTTATAACCATATACTTTGAGTTGCAGAGTCTGTAAGTAGTATAACCATCGGCGACTGTGTCGGCGCCTAAAATGTGTATACTGTCCAGTAAAAATTCCAGAATGGCGTGTTATGTGTTTAAAAACAAAAAGAGATAAATGAGAAAACAGCGAGTTAAATAGTCTCGCGTCAGAGTGCAGGTCTAGAGAAAAGTCGTTCTTACCGCCATATGGACTGTGTATGATGGGCACGATTTTTACATCCATATGGTCTAAGGCAGAAAAGACCGACTGACAAAAACACAACAGCGCGAGGACACTCTTCATGTTCATGCACGTAGGACGTAGTTCTGTCTGGAAACACTTATATACTTCCCACCTGTTTGCGTGCAGTGTAGCTAGAATTAAATGGTTACAAGAGCCCATCAAGACTGAATGTGTCATAAGCTGGCTACTTTATTTGCAATAAATGTCACTTTTGCTCCCCTAGGTCTACAGGACATTAACTAACTCCAATGTCATAAAACGATTTAAGAACATATTCATCTGCAGTGTAACGTTGCTTCCTGCATGCCTGTTCTTTCAACTAACCAGGCAAATAACAAAGGCGTTATACGGCAGGATCAAGGACCGTGGTTTTCAGTTAGCTTGCCTAAGGTCTTTTAGTTTTTCTAACCAAAACGATGTGGAGGATGCGTTTCATCCTCGACAGAGAGGAACAAGAACACTAGTAGTGAGACTAGGGAGTTGTGTTTGGCAGTGTATCACAGGTTGACCTTCGTTGACGACGCTCTCCCCTGTGCGCTCCACAGACGAATAAAAGCGGGGATGGTGATCTGCGGGTGAATAAGTTTACTATGGCAACAGACTTGCGTAGATCCACCACACTTTTTCTTCTCCAGCCCCAACTGAGTCCGAATCAAGATAGAGTCAAGAAGGACGCACGTGACTGGCACGGCGTAACTCCCCAACTAGACTGACCACCGCATCCTTTGGCATGACCTGACCTGAATTTTATACCACAACGCGAATATGGGGGACAGCAAGAATCCCAGTTGGCGCAGAGTGATCCGGCAAGTGTGAATGCCACCAAACCCCAGTGCCGACATTTGTTGTAGGTACGCGCTTCTGATAACGCATGGCAGACTCCAATCCAGCCCCTGTGTTGGCTCAGTGAATTCGCCATGTGGCCCGTTTTAGGGGCAACGTTTGGCGGTATATACAGAGCACACATCGTAGATGGATAACAAAGCGATGTCTTTGAGATATATATGTATATGTCTGCAACTCTCCAGGTCGAGAGCATGTGGTACATGTGAAGCGCTTCCTGTGTCGACTGAATCTGACGCCAGAGGGGATGTGCGGGTTAGAAGGTCAAACTATCGCTGACTGATTATGTCAATTGAGGCCGAAATGACAAGTCCAGCGTGCTTGCCGTTGTCAGCAAAACGCATCGATCAGGGAGTATCGGCCCTGTCTTGGTTCTCAACGTCGAAATAACAGGAGAATGCGAATTTCCCTCCTGCGGTCGGGATATGGCGGTGAATGTCACTCTCCTGCAGACAGGATTTTATCCGAAACAGTTTGCAGGTCAAAACTGAAATTCGCCCACAAAAGAAAAGGACAAAAGGAACACCTATGTTTTTCGATGGGAGCTCAGTGATTTAGGGGCTCTCAAGCATTTAAATGGTTTGTGCTTACTTTAGACATCCAGCTTGATCGAATAACTATTCCAGTCTTCATGACTTATTTATATAATTTGAAAGAAAACCAAATTCACTTTTTGTCCGTTGAGGTAATTCGGTGTACTTTCATAAAAAGGCCTACTTCCGAATCTATGGTGAAGTAACCTGTCTATAATTTAGAGAAATCTGGTGTCAAAATCTACTCAACTGCTAAAATATCCCGTGAAAAGCAAGGTTTACATAGAAAACCAATAGTGACACTTACATAGGAGGTAGATAAAGGTGAATTAGACAGCAGTTCGCCTGTCAGGGTTCTGCATTGAGGCACACATAAAAACTAAACTGTCTCGGTCGGCATTATAGTGAAATCGTTGGAGCGTCACTTTTATTTGCTTTTTGTTTGCATATATATGTAATTGTATCGTTCTTCTGACAATTTGGAGGCGTCTTTGTGATAACTTACTGTGGCTACCTTTTGAGGGACAATTCCAAATATAATGCAACTATTCTTAACCTAGATAATCTGGCAAGGGTGTGACGGTCTCTTCGTCAGCACAATTCCTGGAAAAATTCAAAGGGGTAAGCCTCCATCCAAATAAGGTCATGGTATCTTTTGATGTTGCGGCCTCCCTCGTCTCCGGTCTTCTTGACTCTGTCTTGACACCGGGTCCAGGCGGGGGAGGAGGAGAGAGTGTCGGTAGATGCTACGCAAGTCTACCGGCACTATAAACCCCTGCGTAAGTCACCGTCCCTGCTCCCATTGCTGCTGCAACTGTGGGGCACACGGTGGACATCATCGAAACCGATGGTCGAACTGTCATCTTTTGATGTTACATCCCTTTTTACTTCTATTCCCCAGGACCTGGCGATCGAGACAATCGAGCTTCTAATACAAAGCAAATAAGATAAAACGGAGAATAGCCTAGGACACGCCCAAATCCTTCACATCCTGAAGTTCTGTCTCATGACGTACTTCACCTTCGACGGGACAATTTACAAACAGGTGAAGGGCACACCAATGGGTTTGCCGACTTCGGGATTAATCGCCGAGGTGGTCCCTCAACAGTTAGGGTCGCTGGTCTTCCAACTCCCCAGACCGGAGTTCTGGGCCCGGTATATGGATGATACCTTCGTCGTCATCGAACGGAATCAGGTGCTGACATTCAAAGAACATCTCCAAGCCGCCTTCCCAGGCATTCATTTTACGATGGAGGAGGAAGAGAACAACCAGCTGGTCTTCATAGATTTCCTCGTATGATGCAAAGATTGTGGTGGACTAAAGGCCAAAGTGTTCAGGAAAGCGAAAAATACGATGCAAGTACTGACCGTCAACAGTAACTACCCAATCAGCCACAAACGCAGTTGTGTAAGGACGCTCTATCGGCGTGTTGAAACGCACTGCAGTGAGCCGGAAGAAAAAATTGCCGAACTAAAATAACTCCGAGGGGTCTTCAAAGTCAATGGCCACCCGTACAACTTCGTCAAACGGTGCATACGCAAAAGGGACGAAAGACCTAACCGCACAGACACCGAATCTTGGCGGGCGCTTCCGTATGTCAAGAACGTTTCAGTAGCTGTCGGCCGCCTTCTCGCACCACTTGGGGTTGGAGTTGCACATAGACCGGAGGCAACCATCAGGCGTCTGGTAATGAAACCGAAAGACCCGCTGCCAAGGCAAAAACGTCTGGAGTCGTTTATCGGATCTGTTGCAGTTCCGAACAAAGCAACTACTTCGGAGAAACCGGAAGACAGCTTTGAACGAGATTGGCCGAACACGCTGCAGCGGTGCGGAAAAATGACGTCAGCTCTCAAGTTGCGGCTCATTCGACGAGATCCGGCCACACATTCAAATTCGACGAGGTCGAAATTCTCGCAAGAGTTGACAACCGCGTGGGCCAGGAGCTGCTTCAGTCATGGTTTACTGGCATCCAGTCAATTAATAAGTGCAATGACGTTCCCATTCCATACTCGGTGCTGAGACTTCGCCTAGGCAGAGTAATTGACAACGCGGTGAGCGCCCAGGTGAAAACTTCTCCCAACACCAGGGTCAACGCGTCAGATGGTCGAGCAATCATCACACCAACATCTAACGCATGTGATGAAATCGCAGCAATTAACGACGCGAATGTCTGTCATCACAAAACGTGCAACGATCTCTGATGAAGGAGGGAGCCGTGAATGATCATAGGTATGCGGTAGCATGGCGAGTGCTTCCTATAAGTACTGCAGCCCCTTGTGCTTGAATCACCCATATATGCTGTTGTCTCTGATGATGGATTTGTGCAGGAACACGAAACGCCAGGCTAATAAAGCTCTTGTCCCAGCGATCGTGTCCCTTTCTTCAAGACCACTTCTTGGGACTCGTCTCTTCGCTTCTATTGGCATACATAACATCCTTCCGAGATTATCAGAATGCGGTATCATGGAGTTCATCGATGTTCTCCGGACGTGTATCAGGATTTCGACAGCCCAACACTCACTTCTCTTAAATGAGTTCATAGTTTTTTTGTGTTAACTAAAAAAGGGCAAACATTTTTTACCTCAAAACTGTGCTGACGGCTGGCGTTTCATCGGTTGTCAGATGCCAATGTACTTCCAGCATAAAAACGCAGAGGCGCGGCCTCTTGTTATGAAAAAAATATGCCACAGGAGGGATACACCGCTGAGTTCGTGTGCGTTTATGATCTTTATCACCCAGAACAACTCCACTGATTGGTCTGTACATGAGCGTCTGTCAAATTGTCTTAGAATTTTAGCCAGGATGCCAAAAAACCTTTCAACTATGTCACAATGTAAAGTAAATAGATCAAACAAATTCACATTAAACTGTGACGTTGAGCCGGCATTTGCGAGCGTATAACATTCAACTTTTCCTTGAAGCTCGCCGCAATCTTTCGTCTCTGCATACTAAAATATGGAATTTAGAGTTTCAATGGTAATGTAGCAATGAAAAGTATTTTTTTCTAGGCCACGAAGGAGGTAACGATGTCTTTCATTGTCTCGGATGAACATGCTTTCCCGACGCAGTTAGCGGAGCGAAGAACTAACTTCCATGTTGCATGAATTACCATACTGCATATTTTCTTTAAGCCAAGAAAGGAAGGCATTTTAAACCAATCTCAATTTGGTTGCATGTGCTTGCGCAACAAGGCAATAGATAGGACGATTTCCTCATAAACAAAGACCTCTACGGAGACGCAAACACCTATGTTGCCCCAGTTTCTGAATTTCTATGTTTTCATCTCCTTAGAAGTTAGTGCGTTAACTTGGAGTAAATCAGTCGAAATGAACCTATAAAGCTTCATGCTGCAGATCCCACGGAACTTCACAGTGATCAAAGGGGTGCAACAGTAGACACTGTGTCATCAGATTACTGAATTTCGTTGTAGTAGCTCACCCCTAAATCCGTTACGCATCTTTAAGAAGAGTACTACATTTGATCCTCTACGAGCGGTAAAACTTCCCGCTCGTCAGTATGCAAAGTGTCCAGACGAAACACACAGACCAAAAATATGTTTTGCGTGTCGGGCATTTCTTTCACTTTTATATAACTACTTGCGTTCTCTAAACCCGTTGTACAGA